GATCTGCTGCCGGGCTGCCAGCTCGGGGGAGGCACCCCGGCATCGGTGCTCCTTCTGGGAACGGGCTTGGCTTGTTCGCTATTAACAGTTTTCCTTCCGTTTTCCTTCCGTTTTTCTACCTCGCTAAGTGTTTCGCGCTCTCTTTTGTGTTAATCCCCCCCCCGCCCTGTCTGTGAAGCAGTTTGTTTCCGTCTCGCTGCTGTCGGTTGGATGGTGTAACCATGGCCCTGTGGTGCACAGGATGTAGATACGGGGTCACAGGCAGGGAACCGTGGTGTGGCAGCTCGGAAAAGAGCTGTTCTCATGAGCCTGGGCTTGGAACAAGGCAGGGAGCAGGCATCGGGAGCGGCCCTAAGGAAGGAAGGTCAATGGGAGTAACGCAGAGGTTTAAAAACAAGAGCAAGTGGGCTTGGCCTGCAAAGAAATATATTTTCCTGGTGCTTATCGCTGTTTCAGCTGTCTAAATACTGATAGATGTGTAATTCAAGTGAGTTTTGCCCAGTCTTAGACAAAGAAGTTGGCAGTCTCCTTGCACCACTCCTAGCAGGCAGGGAAACTTTATAAAACCAGTCTTCAGTTGCTAGAGTTCTGACAACATCTGTTAATAATAATTTCACATTTCTCTCCTGATGATGAATAGTATATTAGTACCGGGGAACGGGGGGGGAAGTTGTTATTGCTTGTGAACTTTGACTAAAACAGTCAGTAACCATAAATTCTTTCAAATCGGCTTGATGTCTTGCATGAAGATGCCTACTCATGTGGGAAGTAGAAGTAGGATAGTTATTTTGAAAGAAGGTTAGGTTAAGTCAGAGGGGAATTTATTTTGCTGTAAATAAGTAGTTTTCAGAGAAAATTCCAGAAATCCACAGATGTTTCTGAAAGGCAACTTGTACAAACTTGACAGATGACTAAATCATAATTTCATTTATTTTTACATATTTTATTTCATAAGTAATTATTTTACTAACAAGTAAATAGTTCTGAGCTGCTATTTTGTAGTGCAGAAAAAAACTTGATATTTTTTTTTCCTCGTCTTTCACCATATTAAAGCTGTGATGGTTATCTAAAGAGTGAAATGCAGTCTGACTGGGTTTATTACATGTCTATTAATTATTACAACAGAAGACAATGTGTATAACTATAAAACATGGCATGCATAAGAGGTGTGATAACTCGGGTATTACGACAGGTACAGAATCTTATAAAGTTGTTTTGTATTTTGTACTTTGTGAAATGGCACATTGCATGATTCTCCTCATCGTCAGTGTTATGTTTGTAAATAGCATGTAGGCAGAGTTTGGCTTTTAGGAGTTTGAGGATTCTGTTATGTCCTTGACTTACACAAAGTCACTCACACTTTACACTTTCTAAAATTTTTGCAGCTAACTTCTCTGAGCAAGTAGTTGAAAGCTTTCCATCAGATATCTCTACTGGTATATACTATGGATGGGCCTGTGTTGGAAATGGAGATGTGCATAAAATGGTTCTGAGCATAGGATGGAATCCTTTCTACAAGAATATTAAGAAATCAGTGGTAAGAATTTTGCTTTGTGGGGGATTTTTGTTATAATCAATGGCTAGATGTTGAATTTGAATAAGATAAGCAGAATTCGATCCATAAATGAGATCTGGAAATCCTCTTTGGTTCCAGCATACATACTAATCTATTGTTTTCTGCAGTCTATCCATATTTCAAATAAGGCATGTTGTGGCATCTTACTTTGTAATGACTTTCTATTATTTCTTTTCTTAAATGATGGAATCCATACAGGAGGATCCATGCATGTGGCTTGAAATAGGATGGAGAAGTTGAGTAAAAGTCCTGATCTGTGACAGCTGTGTTTTTCTTGCTGTCACATTCTGGTCCTTTTCCTGAGACTTGCAAAGCTCTGTTTTAATTGTTTAAAACACTTGTATTTGAACATGAATCTCGCTTCTAAAGTCTTAAGCATTTGAAGACTCTGTAACATGCTTGTGTACTCTTTAAAATTTTTGCAGGTAACTTTTCTGAGCAGGTAGTCAAATCTGATCTCTCTGCTGGAGTATAGTATGGGTTGACCTATTTTGGAGAGGGGATGCGCATAAAATAGTTCTGAGCATAATATGCAACCCTCTCTCAGACTTCACTCCTTGAATTTTATCATTCGGTTCCCTTGTGATCTCGTTGTAAAAGTTCTCCTTAAGCCAACTATTTAAATAAAAATCTTTATAGTTATTTGGATACATTAACTGAACGTTGAAACATTAACTGTTGTTCGTGATTTGCTGCCTTGGAATCTTACCCCTGAGAGGGGTGAAACTTTTCTTTTTTTACCTTTTTTTTTTTTTTTTTTGGCTGTTAAGAAAAAATACTCAGAGTATTCTAAGTTCCTTGCAAAGTCCAGTTCTCCTTCCCGACATAAGCAAAAGCCCTAGCCTTTTAATCTTGCATTGCACATGCTAAACTAAATGTCCCTTTTATTGGTATGCGTTGGGGAGAATTTGAAATAGGCGTATTAGCTGTACATCCTTACAGTGAGAGAAATAAACTCAAAGTTCATCATCAATGCCAACTTACTACTCTTCTTTTAGGAAACGCACATTATCCACACCTTCAAAGAAGACTTTTACGGAGAAATTCTTAGTATTGTCATAATTGGATATATTCGACCGGAAAAAAACTTTGATTCCTTAGGTCAGTATTGCACGCCTCCCTCAGACTATCCTATTATATGTCTTACTCCTGCAAGTACTCTGTCTTCGCTGTCTTTTTTTCTGTAACGAGATGTTTTATCTGTTAACCTTTGGAATTTCAGTAACATGTTTTCAAAAGCTAAATGTACAGTTTGGTTTAATTAAAAAAACTAAAGCCTCCTACATCTTCCAGTGTATCACACTAAAAATTTTATTGTGTCACTTGTCTGAGCAGTGATTTTAAAATCACGGGCCTGTAATAAAAGCATCAGGCTAATCTGTTAATTGCTTTTTAAAATGCAGCTATGTTAGAATTGAAACAGTTCATGAAACTGTCGATGTTTTGCTAAAATGCCTTTTGCAACAAGGAGAGGGTAGTGCTTATAATGGTGAAAAATGCAACTCTGGCATCTTTTTTTTTTTTTAGAAGGCATTTTATAACCAGGTAATTTTGCTTTTCAAACCTCGTGGTAATAACTATATTCTACTTCTGTGATTATTGTCTGTTATTCTGTGGTATGCATTATTTTCACTTACTATTGTATGCTCAGAGTCCAAAACAACTTTTAAATATCCTTATTTTTACCTTTTTCAGAGGCGCTCATTTCAGCAATTCAGGAAGACATTGAAGAAGCAAAAAGACAACTAGATTTACCAGAACATCTTAAACTCAAAGAAGATAACTTCTTTCATCTGCCGGAAGGCAAAATAGTGAACAACCACTGAGAAAATCCATTCTGCTTTCTCTTTTTTTTTTTTTTTTTTTCCCCCTTTATTTCTCCTCTCTCATGGAGCTTTTATGTTTGCACTGCTTCTAATAGATACTGTGCTGTCATATGTCTATTCAAGTAACTGAGAGTAGAACCAACTGAACAAGAGGATTTCAATTTCCTTGTGTTAATTAAGCATTAACCCAGTCATGCAAAAGGAGTAGAAGGCTAGTTTAGGTCCTCACAGGTAAATTGTGTATCCTAAAGTTATCAGTTGTTCAGGTATCTGAGCACGTGTGGAACATGACCAAAGTTCATTGTGACCTCTTCTGACCGTAAGGTATGGATAGTTCACTTAAGTGGACAATGTCTGTTTTTAACATACATAATGTTATTCCAGCCTCTTTTCCCGGTTTTATGTCATTCTTACATCTGGATTTTAGCTAGTAACTTAGAAAATTTTGCTACTGGTTGAGTCAGAAATTTCCTGTAGTGCAGGAAGCCAATGATTAGATAACAGTAGGAAGATTAATTCTCTATAGTTCTTATTTTTTTTATATGCTACACAGCTGTTGTGATTGAAGTTGTTACTCTAACTGAAACTATTTATTTTAAGTATATTTGAAATGGAGGAGATCACTGTTTCTCATTGAATTCTTTGAATCTGAGATACACTTCTTCATAGTTGACTCTGCATATGACAATACCTGACGTGCATAGTTTACTTCTGAAGAAGTGTTTCTCTGAAACTTAGGAAATGAATGACAGTGTGAAAGTTAATAAACTTTAAAGGTTTAGACAAAAGATGTCTAAAAGTTTAGACACAAAAGATGCAGAAACAGTGTAACGAGACTTCTGCTCGTTGGGCCTTAAGACAGAAGAGGCAATAGAAGGCAAGATTGCATTTTATGTGCTGCTGGTATTTGTCTTAGGAAACTGAGGAGAATGTTGGGATTACTCACTACACGGGCAATAAAATGGCTGACTTCAAGATTGATGCTATTGTAAGGCGCAGAAAAATCTCATCAACTGTCAGCACCAAGTGCAGGGAAGAGCCAAGGTTTTGGCTGACCAAGTAGATCAATACACAAATGAAAGCTTTTGGGGATTCTTGGAATACTGTATCAACACTACAGTGGCTCTTTGTTATTTATTACAAGTAATTGCAGCCAGTCCTACTCTGAAATGTAGGTAAATGGGTAAAATAGGTAAATGGAGGGTGTGTTGTCAGAAATGGTAGCAATTTGGAAAATCTTCTTAAAGTATGTAGTGTGTGATTCCAAATCTAGTCTTTTTTCTTTTTTCCTGCTGATAAATTTTTCAGTCCCCTACTCAGTGGGTGGACCTAGGTAAGCTGCGTGACTTTCTCATGTTCGTAATCTTTTGATGTCAGCTTGCAATGTGGCTGGAACAGTTTCTGAAATTCAAAATGGTTCTGTGGATGTGTCTCAGCTGTAGTTCTGTGTCTGAACTACCATGTACATTTCAGTGCGCACAATTTCTGTAGTGCAATTTTATGAATTTACTCCTTGCCTATCCTATTCAAATCTTACTTTTCACTCTAGATTTTAAGAGAGTTTTGACAAGGGGTCTGGGACTTTGTGGCGGCTGCTGTCAGGATGTTAGTTCCACTTCATTTTGTTGTACTTTTCAGTCAATATAGGATATTGTTAGGGAAGAGGTCTTGAGCAGATCAAGGACTCATGTTTGCTCTGTGGGACTTCAGGAGAAACTTGATTTTTTTAAATTAATTGTTCACTAGTTCTTGTGACAGCAGAGACAGATGGAATACAGAATAGGGGGAGCAGTTATCAGCAGTTAGATATGCTTTTAAAGGAGAACAAACTAATGTAGTGTTTTACTATACAACATGTTGGAAACTGTATTTCTGAAAAGTCTCTAAAAGAATTGCCTTTCAAGAGTGACAGTGGGAATTTTTTTTTTTTACATTTTAAAACAGAAGGATTAGGGGATAATTTTTTTTCACAAAGATTTGAGACATTCTTGAGATTGTAATAATGTCAAAATCTTATATTTTACTTTTTTAAAGAATAAACAAAAGCCGCACTAGTCAACTGAATATATTTAGATGGTTATCCATCATAGTACTGTAGCTAAACACTCATAGCCTTCTTTAAAATTGTTTTTTGCCAGTAATTTCATGTGTCTGTTGTGGAAACCATGGTGCCTTAAGCTGGTTGTCGGAATAATACTTTTCTGTACCTGCTAATAAATGCTACTATCAAAAATTCAGTTCAGCGTTTAGGCTATTAATAGACAACAGAGGCAAAGGGAAAACTTGGAAAACTGTTAGTTTGCTCTCAAATCTTAGCTGAGATGTGACGTATGGATACACTGAACTATAAAACCTGCTTTTTGTGTGTTTGTCTTCAAATTAAAGAAAATGTTACTACATTCATTTGGCTGAGTGTATGCATCCATATTATTTAAGAGAAAATGTCGTATATCAACTGTTGAAGCTCAAAGCGTAATTCCTAGCACAGTATAAACTTTATGAAGGATTATATTTTTGTATTATGTACAAATAACTGTATTTATTTCAGTTGGTGTTGCTGCACTGTACCATTAATAAAGGAACTGTAATTGAGAAAGTTATCCTTGTCACAAGTTTCCTTCCCTTTGCCATGGCTACCAAAGTTAGTCCTCACCATCTCACACAAAGCTTTGCAGGGTGGCTGCCTAAAAAACGAGACTGACAGAAAAGAGTATCATAGAATCATAGAATTGTCCAGGCTGGAAGGGACCTCCAAAGGTCATCTAGTCCGACCTCCCCGCAGTCAGCAGGGACACCCCCAACCAGACCATGAGTAGTGAGAAGCTGTTCAGCCTTCCGTGTGTGTCTGAAAATGGGACTCTGGGGACTTCTGTGCTTGTACTGGATTTGTGTGGCAAGGTTTTGATAGCAGGGGGCGGGGGACGGACAGACGGGTGGCTTCTGTGAGGAACTGCTAGCAGCTTCCCCCATGTCCCATGGAGCCAATGCCAGCTGGCTCCAAGACAGACACGCTGCTGGCTGAGGCCGAGCTTATCAGTGCTGGTGGTAGCACCTCTGGGATAACGTTTTGAAGAAGAGGGGGGAAAAAACCAACTCCGCAACTGCAGCCAGAGCAAGGAGTGAGAATACCTGAAAGAACTCTGCAGGCACCAAGGTCAGTAAAGGAGGGGGAGAAGGTGCTCCTGCTGCTGGAGCAGAGATTTCCCTGCAGCCTGTGGTGAAAACCATGGTGAGGCAGGCTGTCCCCCTGCAGCCCATGGAGGAATCCACACCAGAGCAGGTGGATGCATGAAGCAGGCTGTGACCCCGTGGGAAGCTGGCACTGGAGCAGGCTCCTGGCAGGAGAAGTCCATGCAGAAGCAGGTTTGTTGGCAGGACTTGTGAGCCCGAGGGGGACCCACCCTGGAGCCATCTGTTCATGAAGGACTGCATCCTGTGTAAGGGACCTACTCTGGAGAAGTTTGTGGAAGACTATCTCCTGTCAGAGGGAACACACGCTGGAGCAGGGGAAGAGTATGAGGAGTCCTCCTCCTGAGAAGGAAGGAGCAGCAGAGACAACGTGGGATGAACTAACTGCAATCCCCGTTCCTTGTCCCCCTGTGCCGCTCGTGGGAGAAGGTAACGAAACTGGGAGTGAAATTGAGCCCAGGAAGAAGGGAGAGGTGGTGGGAAGGTATTTTAAGAGTTGGTTTTATTTCTCATTGTTCTACTCCGGTTTGATTGGTAATCATCAAATTGATTTCCCTGTGTTGAGTCTGTTTTGCCTGTGATGGTAATTGGCTGAGTGATCTCTCCCTGTCCTTGTCCTGACCCACGAGCCTTTTGTTGTTTTCTCTTTCCTGTCCAGCTGAAGAAGGCAGTGATAGAGCAGCTTTGGTGGGCACCTGGCCTCCAGACAGGATCAACCCACCACAGTGCTTTAGTAGGAACTTATGGGAGCTACAGCCTTAGAATTCAGAGCCTGAAACTCATGAATTGACTTCTCTTTCAAAAAGACAACTTTCTTTCAAAACTTTTAAAAACTGCATGGTTTTCTTAATGGAAGAAGTTGCATTCGTCTCCTCTGTTCTACTTCAACTGTTAAACATTCATCTAGGCCAGGGCAAAGATTTATCTGCTGCTGCTGAAGGGAAGCCAAATCTGTGTCTTAAGGCGCGTTATTGTGGCTCTGGCATCTTTCGGGGAAAAAGTTCCTCTCATAGTTTCACTCTCGGTACTGTTAATATGTAAACCTTTATGTAACCTCTGCCTAGCATCACTGAAGTTACATCAAGAAAGAATGTTGTGGTGGAGTATGTGTTTGTGACATCACATGCAGAGGACTCTTCAGTTATCTGTCAGAAATCATGATTTTAACAACAGAGTGCTCGGACTGGAGGAATGGATTTAAGAGAGAGAAATCCTTAAGCACCTCTGTTATTCAGGGCTTTTCTTTAACACACAGAGCTGTATTTTCCAAGCATCTGGGTTTTCTACTAGTTTTCTTCTGGAGTTAAATTTAAAAATATCAGAATATCTTCAGTTGTCTTTTGTAATGAACTTGCTTTATATGGAGGCATAACCCTTTTTTTTCCACATATGCTTGTTTTTTCTGAAGGGAGAAGGAAGGTGTTTAAAAAAACCACCAAGCAACCAATTAATAAGCAGTGTGATGCCTGGAAAACTTATTTACTCCTCCAGAGAAACAGTTGGGTAGATTTTTGGTCTCTGTTTTTACATGGGCTGGAGCTTTAAAAACATTGCTAACAATGTCAGTTATTATCTAATTAAGTGCATAGCTGAAGGTAATGATCTCTGTCTTGATCTATAATGGTTGGGTAGTAATTTTGGCTTTGTGTTTGTGGCTCAAAATAGAGAAGTGCTTATCTTTTACATGTTTTAAAGTTTACCGTTGGTTTGATTGTTCCACGGTGCTAAGACTCTTAAGTGAAAGAGGAAGGCACAATTCAATGCAATCAGTAAATACAGTGAGATTTGGATTCAGCGTTTTTGTTTCCCAATGGTGAGAACTTATGTGACAGAATTACTTTTTTTGCATAAGGACCAGAAAGAAAAAAAAAAAAGAAAAATTGGAATTGAAAATCATGTTAAGCAACAAGAAAGAGAAGAAAGGATACAGCAAAACAACTGGATGGAGGACCTGTAGAAAAAAATAAGGAGGGACAGTTCAATATAATGGTTCTTAGAGAGGCATAGAAAATGAACTCTTCGAGAAAGAGAAGAAAGGATACAGCAAAACAACTGGATGGAGGACCTATAGAAAAAAATGAGGAACAGTTCAATATAATGGTTCTTAGAGAAGCATAGAAAATGAACTCTTCATGAAAAAGAGAAGTCCTTATCTAGGTGCTGAGTAGATAATATAAATGAGGAACAGGGAAAGAACATTTCCTTTTTTAGTGCTCGTTGAATGTGTAATATAAATCTGCAAAGTAATGTAAAGGAAACCTAAGTGCATCTGTTTTGTTGGTTTAGGACGTCTCCCTCCTGCTTAAACCTATTCTGAAGAGGGACAATGAAAACAAGTTGTAATTGCTGCCTACTTTGCAATATATACTTTCTTAGGGAAAGAAACTTTAATTTTGTATTAAATTGTTTCAGCGCTTGAAATGAGCTTTCAAACCCTAATTCCTAATCCTAGCATCTTTGGTATTGCCACGTACCTACTAAGCAGACAAAAAAAAAAAGTCAGAACTGAAAAAAAATTGTCTTTCTATTCAGAAGTCCTTTTGAATCTTCAGAGCTTCTGTCTGTTCCTCATCAGGTTGCATGTTTGGTTATTCCTCAAAATTCAGGCATCAAAACACACTCGTGTTTTTTTAGGTTGAGGGTAGATGAAAAATCCAGGATTAACACAGTTCTGAAGGAGTGTACATTTCCCTCCCTTACTTCCCCATATGTAGATACATAATGCAAATACATATTTATCTTGGAATACCTGTCACTTGTCAAGAGAAAATCAAATGTCTCAAACCCATTTGTGGTAGCTTAGGTAGCTGCATTTTTAGTATGTTGGTTGCTCTCTTTGCTTTGAAATTCCATCCTGAGCCCTTATCCAGAAGCCACGTAACAGTCATACAAGACCTAGAGACAATTTTGCATGGTGGACTGCAAAAATGTGTTCTGAGTTAGAGACCAGCCTGTAGGGAAAAGAGACTTGAGCCTCAAGGCCTAGCATCTTTGGTATTGCCACGTACCTACGTACCTACTAAGCAGACCAAAAAAAAAAAGTCAGAACTGAAAAAAATTCATCTTTCTATTCAGAAGTCCTTTTGAATCTTCAGACACTTATACTGTAACTTGTCCTTCACTTCTGTTCTGGCAAAACTTCAGAATACAGTCATGGAAGAGGAAAATTTTCCCTGTATACATGCACTCCATTGGGAAGAGAAAGGATAAAGAGCACTGGTAGCCTACACATCCCTTTGAAATCAAATTACTGGATGAGAGGTGAGTGGGTTTGAACAGATATTTGTATTAGTTACGATGCACACACATACATACTGGGAAAGGATTTGCTCTCTGCACAACGTAGAAATGTAATCTCTTAAGTGGCATACCTCTAGAGTGCTGCTTAAAAACCTACCAAATATTTACATAAACTTTAGAAAAGCAGTATGTTTTCAGAAACAATGCCCATCTCATGCTATGTATGGTTGAAATCTTGAGTTCAGCATGCTAAGAAATAACTAAATTATTGCAGTAATTTTGTAAGAAAGGCAGCTGAGCATAAAATCCATACATTACTAAGTTCTCTAAATTAATAACTTTCATCCTATTCAAGCTCATCTTCCTCATTCTGTCCCAAGAGCCCATTTTAAATTTATGATGAACTGTTGCCATATGTTGCCCATATATGCTATATCATCATCTCCATCTTCAGCCTCTATTTTTGTACTCAATCACTTGATGTTCCTGACAGTTTATGTTCTTGTGGTAGTTGCTTATGTGGGAAGGGAAGGCTTTGGATTGATTTATCAGGTTCTCATACTCACCTTCATTAACAGCTGTGGCTTTGGCTTGCTGTATTCTCCAGATACATGTGACGGTTCAAACAAAAAGGAGAAGCAAAATCAGCTGGTAAGGAAGTAAGTGGTTAAGGTTTTGCCCTCAGGTGATAGAGTGGATCATAATACACAGTCATCTGATAATAGTGATAAAAAAAAGAGAAATAATGTGCAGTCAGGCAGGAGGGGGCCTTTATTTTAAATGACCTAGTAGAACATCTAAGTCAGCGTACCATTTTTAATGTGCTGGAGTTACTGCCTTACCCTTCTCATACCACAGTTGTGCTCTTGTAGCTGTGATGGTATAAGGATAAAGGCAAAGAGGGGGTTGGTAGGACAGCTGTGTTTCTTTATCAGATTAAGAGTAGTCAGAAAGAAGCAGAAAAACAGGGACACAAACAATCTACTTCCTAACTTTAGGCTAGAAACACAAAACTCTCAGAAATACTTACATTTTTTTAACACTCTGGCATCTAGAAAAAATTGAAGACTGTGGCCTAAGCCTGCTTTTCCCAATTGTATGTTTGTTCTTAATAAGCAAATTTCTTCATGCTACAAATCTTCTGTGTGTAAGATGCTGTAGCTATTTCAAA